AATGCTGAGGGCAGATTATACTTTAATGACTGACCAGGGGCGCATAGAGCAGCTGCAGGAGTCCAAATAATTGGCATTCCTTATCCACTAGGTCGTGGAGCTTCTTGGGGCCTCAGAAAGAGGTCATCAGAGTAGCTCGAACACAATTCACATCGATATAGAATTTATATATGATGTGTACGGCCATGAAAGTAGTTGGAGCTCAAGTAATACATGCAACATAAAAAGGCTCACGATAGTATTGAGAATATTGGCAAATTTATTATTAGGTGCAAGGGTCTGAAGGGTGAACGTAAACGCACGTGTACTTAACAGTCAGTTTATTCATAAAAGTTAATACTAACAGTACATGACAAGAACAATATCCCTTTGTGTGTATTTTACATCAATAAACTTAATTCAATTTCAATTTCAAACATCGATCAGTCAATACGATTACTAATCACCGCGTATCAAATCAATTGAAATTAACACACTGATATCACGAAGATAATTGAACATGATGTTACAATGACACTGCAAGAATAATGATCACAAAGTCACTCTGACGTCTCAAGTTAATGAACACAAAATTACACATAACACTGAGTCTACTTTACTCTGTAAGTTAATGAACACAAAGTTACACATTTATTTATTTATTTATTTACATATATACAAGAAGGTACATTGGGTTTGTGAGAATACATTGGGTAGTACAGTATTTACACTCTTGTAAAGCCACTAGTACGCGTAGCGTTTCGGGCAGGTCCTTAATCTAACAGATAATTTTAAGTAGGTAATTTCTATCAGAATTGATAAATGATAAAGATACATTGCAAGAGAAAAATGAGATGAGAGAGCTTAGTAAGTATATTAAAGCACATTGTTATATTAAAGCTCTGATTGATTACATTGACAGCTTGATTAGTAATTTAAACAAGATTTATAGACACCATACAGGAGATTGACAGCACATATAAGACAGCAATGATCACAATGGTAAAGATGTTCAAATTGGGAACATAAAGGTTGGGAGATTGGGTAGCAATAGATACAGTGCAATTTTAAGGCAAAAATTGAAAAACTATGAAGATGAAATTAGGTACTTTTTAGTATTGGTTTTGAATGATGTAAAAGTTGGACAGCTTTTCAATTCAATAGGGAGTGAGTTCCATAACCTGGGTCCCTTTATTTGCATAGAGTGTTTACACAGATTAAGTTTAACTCTGGGGATATCAAAGAGATATTTATTTCTGGTGTGGTGATAATGGGTCCTATTACATCTGTCCAGGAAGAGTTTCAGAGCAGGATTTGCATTTAAGAACAGGGTTTTGTTAATGTAGTTGACACAAGAGAATTTATGGAGTGAGATTATGTTTAGCATGTTTAGGGAGTTAAACAAGGGGGCTGAGTGTTGTCTTAAAGCAGAATTTGATATTATTCTGATAGCAGATTTTGCTGGGTGATGATGGACTTAAGGTGGTTTGCAGTGGTTGAACCCCATGCACAGATACCATAGTTGAGATAGTGATAGATTAGTGCATAATATAGAGAGATGAGAGCAGAGTTAGGTACATAATATCTGATTTTGGAGAGTATACCAACTGTTTTAGAGACTTTCTTAGTTATGTGTTGTATGTGGGTACTGAAGTTGAGTCTCTTGTCTAGGAATAGGCCAAGAAACTTTCCATCATTTTTATTGCTAATGTTTACATTGTCTATTTGAAGCTGAATTGCATTTGTAAATTTGCTTCCAGATATGATGTAGTACACATAACACTGAGTCTACTTTACTCCGCAAGTTAATGAACACAAAGTTACACTGAACACACCAATACGGGTCACTGAGACCAACAACAATATATCAAAGATAATTGTACACACCAACACGGGTCACTGAGACCAACAACAAAATATAAACACCACACACAACACTGACACACTCACGTGTCACCAAAAATAAAAATTATAGTACACAAAGTAAATAACTCTTACTTGGACTTGAAGCATGTCCCCTGGAAATAAAGATAGAACGGCAAGGACATGGGTTAATCACACAGTCATGGTAAACACTAAACCACACTAAACACAGTTAAATACACACGTCACAAAGACAACTAAATGTGTAAAACTGAATGTGTAAGGTGACAATCACACTAAGATCTTGCTGCAGTATTCACACAGAAATGCTGTAGCAGGTCTTCACCTATCGTGCTTCCTCGGGGAATCGAACTCGGTCCCGTAGGGTAACTAGTGAGAACGAACACCGGACGGCTGAATGAAATCAACACAAGGAATTTGCACATTAGGAAGATACAGAGAAATAATGTTTGAGTACTCACGTTAATTTATATCGGTAAGACACACTTACCAACGTCTATCACACGCACACTAGCCCCAGCTGTTGATTGAAGCACGAGCCAGGGACAACGGAGTGTGGTGGAGGTCGGGTTGGGGATATCGACGCTCAGAGGTAGCGAGGTGAGGCAGCAGGCCCACGGCCTGGAGGTGTGAGGGGCGGCGGGAAGGTGTTTCCCGCGCGCTCAAGACACAGAGGCGAGAGTCGCCTGACACGTTTCCACTAATAAACTAGTAACGCCCTCACAGTTATACACCGGGTTTTTAAACGCAAGCGTGATGTATTGCTGAAGGCTGACGGTATGCACGCTGGAATAGACGAATGTATTGAACCACCAGATGTGAGGCACCCCGGGAGGACAATGGTGTGGAAGAGGAAAATTAACAGAGTACATACTCTCACAATATTGAAGATATTCACACGGATCTTCACTCAAACACTTAGAATCGTTTCCTGATTCTTATATCTCTCTGTGACAGAGCAATAGAAGGACGGGTTGCTCTAGGTGTAGCCGCTTTCACTGGATGACTGGACAGTCCTGTTGCACCTGTTGGCAGCACATGTGACGGTTTACGATATCACTTCACTATCTCCTTGAATTTTCACAACTAACGAGTTCTGGCGCTACAGGATTCTGCGAGTGCAACGTGGAACAGCGTAGGGTTAAGTAGCTGGCTGGAGGTTGAAAGGAGAGGGAGGAATCAAGGCTTTGGCCAGAGCCCTGATCTCCCTACTTCTCTACAGCGTCTCTCTTCGATACAGAATGCCCGCCTTTAGCGCGGGAATCTTGGACCAGCAAAGGTTTTGGCGCGAGAATTCAAGTAGCGGCTCCCTTTGGTGCCAGGCCATCGGCCAATCAGGCTCGAGCCTCGGCGGAGGCCTCGTGCCGCTTTCAATAAACACTAAGCCGGCAAAAGACGTTGATGACGTCACGTCACCGGCATTGGGGAGCCGTGGTACCTGATGTTTGTCCATTCATCCTCTTCTCTCTCACTCTTTGTTGCCAAGGCCAAGAGTTACAGAATTCAGAGAAAACCTGTAACTATTCACACAGGATACTTACGAAAACGAGAGTTACATCTTTGGAATGCTGAAGACATCCCCTTTCGAAAGAGACGTGATTTCACTAGTCTATCTCCATTGACATGAAAGATAGACTTATATGCAAACCCTGTGCACATCTCCGCCATTTTCTTAGGCAGAAGGCTTTTTCTACCTTTCACCTAACAAATGTAAGCTAGCTGAGAAGTGGCCAAAAACCCAACATCTCACAGGGTGTTTGGTGACATAGACCGTGAAGCCCGTCAGCGAATGGAATGTTGAATGCAACATTGCAAGTAACGAGCTTGAACCATTACAAATGTAACAATGGTGTTTGCAACATGGTGCAACATGACGCAATAAGGCTGGGAGTACGATGGACACAGGTGAAAGAGAAATACCTGTGAATGAAGATCTATGGGAAATTTCAAAGTGTTTTCGACAGATTTAGTACGATTACTTCATTCTGTGGAATGTACTTATGGAGTTCTAATGAAATTGTGTTTGTATACAGCGTAGACATGCATTGCATTCCATTTGCAAAACAATATTGTAAGGGCTCCGATTCCCTCGTTTGATGACTATATCTCTGCCTTGCATGTAACAGTTATGTTTTGAGTAGTTGAGTGCAATCAGTGATGAAGGTCACATGCAATTAATGTGTTAACTCTGGATACATTACTCGTTTGAGTCCAAAGATTATGGAAATATTTCTGGTTGAAGAGTGGAATTCTAGTTTATCATTTAAATTCTTCACATAGAATAGGAGCGGTCTCTCTCTATGACAGCTGCACTTTCCACAGCACAAATCGAGTGTAGGGAATCATCAGTAAAATGGTATGGGAATGGGAGCACTGTGAAAAAGAGACTCTTTCTGTCTGAAGGCATTGTATTTTGCCTCTAGTCCATGCAGTGACTTATCCTGAATCATCTTCGTGGTTGAGAATGGAGATGAGTCCTTGCCTCTAGACATCATGAACCTGATGCACTCTGTTCATGTGTATCAGGTTTAAGGAATGTTCCACCTTCCATTGTGTTCTTCCTTCCATGCACACGGAAACTTTAGTGTGTTCAGTAGAGCTCCAGGTTGTAATCCTAATGCCATGTCGTGATCTAGTCGTCTAGAGTGTGTGCATGGGAAAACCCACCGCATAGGTTCGAACCCTCATCACGGACCTCCTATGCATTTTCATCATCACGGCTCAAACCCTCATCAAGGCTCCTATGCATTTTCTCATTATTATTATTATCATTATTGTTATTATTATTGTTGTACAAAGACATAAATTTAACATGACGTATCAATAAGAAAATCAGTAGAAGCCATGAAGAGGATTCGAACCTGCACGCTGGATACTCTCAAGCTCACGCCTTAAACCACTGTTCCACGGTATCAACTAGATGCCTCAAGAACCCTAGAAGATTCAGTGTAATTTCAAGTTACATTATTTGTTATCAAATTGTGATTGAGTGGTTTAAGGCATATGCTACGGAGTACCCAGTGCAAGTTTGGATGCTCCGAATGGATCCGACTGATGTTCTCATTATTATTATTATTATTATTATTATTATTAACCATACGATGGTAATGCACCCACTATCACTACTGGTAGGTAGCGTGGAGAGCATGACCGCGGAGGACGGCCACACCGTTGTCACTTCTCGGCACTCGGGACTTCGCTCCCACCGGACCCAAAACCTGTGAGTATAACCAGAGATGGTGTTGTTAGGCACACTACCACACAGAGGCACAGAGTGAGTAATATTCTCATCTTTTTATTTAAATTGGCAATATTTCCCATGATATAGCTGTCATATATACAGGATTACTGCTATTATTTAAGTGCCCTTTGACGGGAACAATGAAGTGGAAGCAGAACAGTTATTTGGTACACCAGTACATGGTATTGATGCCAGACTCAAACACGAGGATTATTTGGTGTGATCATCCTTGTTCATAACTGGTGGACCCGGCCTACCTACAATAAGATAAGGCCCTCCCTATTTTAGTGAATATTTGTTGTCTAATACTGTAGTGAATGTCTGCTGATCAATAATTTTGATTAACTAAATATAAATCCATAAACCCCCAATAATGTGTAAGGAGATCCATTTCTGGGAATTCGAACCACTACAGTCCACTTTAACCATCATAAAATTTGCTATCGAAATATGTAAATTAATGTTAATATAAATTACAAAATTAATTCATATAAATTAAATAAATATAAATCTCACAGGTCGGATCCCCATATTAATTGGTCATTCGAACCTAGATAGTCTAGAGAGCTAGACTATCGTTAAATTGAATAAACTAGTGTAATAAATTAGTGAACAAACATTGCCAGTCAAAGACCAGCCGCGGTGACCCACTATCTACTCATGAGCCCCTCAGGACGCCCTGCCTCTCAAGCGGCTTCAAGGTCACCCACTAATTTCGTGGAGTGTTATTCTGCGGAGTGACAGCGCTAAATTTAAAACCACCCATATTAGCAGCTGCGCATTCGCAAGTTTATATACACTAAATTTGTGGTGTTATTTTCGCTAGATCACTAATAACAGACATATTTAACTTTTAGTACTATCTAGAAGTATTAAGAGACTAATAACAACGCAAATAGTGTGTATTCTTTCTCTTGAATAGAGAATTATTTAAAATATATATTGCACTAGTCTCCTCAATATAATATTTACTGATTGTCAACCCACTACAGGGTAGGATATTTAAATTGACTAGTTTTTATTGATGACGTAGTCCTATATTACCATGACTAGTTGAACTAATTATTGTTTATCCTAGTTCCATTTATTACCATAGTCTAGTTGTACTATATTGAACAACCTAGCACCATTAATCAATGGTGCTAGGTTGTTCAATATATTAAGCACCATTAATCAGACCCTGTTTTGGGTAAAACTTATACCAGCTCGAGTTGAGTTGTGAATCTATAATTACATTTTTTATAATTGTTTACCTATAATCACTGCACCTTTGAGTGATTAAGTAGTATCTATACCAATATATGGTAATAATTGAAGAGCTAACCTAAAGGTACTTCCAGGGACACTGGATTATCACTCAAATCATTTGTGTGTATGATTATATATAATGTACATTAGTTTTAAGTACTAACCTCTACAGGAGGTAGGACTGTAATTCACTAGGTTATTTTATAACCTATTTTGTAACCCAGACGACATTCAATATTTCAGATACAGGACCACAAGTCTACCAAGTGGTACAACCATCAATACGATTAGGCAGCTATTTCTGTCAAGTACAAGTCATTTTGGTGGACACAATTCCAGCCGACCTACGTGTGCAGGGGTCTGTCAGCTACTGTCAAATTTCTGAGAAATAGAGGAATAAAATTGGCAGATAAAATTAAGTCTGATCACCTCGCTGACTTCGGAATCCTTGTCGGTGCTGACTACTACCACAAATTCATCGGTAGCCAAACTAAATATCAGGGCATAATCATGCTAAATTCTGCAGGAGGCAAATTACTCACTGGCCCACTATTAAGTCTGAGGAGACCAATGCCTGTAGATAAACAATATCAATATAAATCTAAATTTGTCAGCTGATGATACAACTCCAGTAGCATTATACTAAGGAGATTACAGCTGACTATAACAACAGAGGTTGATCTTGATATCATCATTCATAGTTGAAGATGAGTTCACGAGGCCTCAGTGGCAAATCAGTGAACAGTAGCCTAAATAAGCTCCAAGTCATTGCGACCAATGTCACTGAACCCACTGCAGTCTTAGAATCATGCTTGACTTTAATGATTTCTCTTAATTACAAGATCAGTTATCAGATGAGGCTTAAACAGTAGTATCCTAGCTGAGGTTAACTAACGACGGCTATGATCTGGAAGTACAACTCCTCAAGGATAATTATGCTGATCCAGAAGTAAGAACATCACATTTATTACATGAGCTGTTGCATTTACCCCCACCGGAGGCTTCAGCTGATTCACTTTAAATCTTTAAGCTGGAGGTAGAATCAATGATCAAGGCCCTCAGCGTGACAACCGATACTAATGGGCTGAGTGAGTCTGGAAAATAATTGTCCAGAGAAAATACCAAGGAACATATTATGACAAATGAGTGCTCACTATAATAAAAGTATTTTATCCTTAAATGAAATATCTGAGGTTTACATTCAGTAATTCATCAATTACGAACAGATGAAATTAAAAACGCCAAGTAAACTTTCAGAAACAAATAATAGTACATCACAAACCACCAAAGGTACTCCAATTCAATCTAGACAATATAATTCCACACCTGTAACCCAGACGACATTCAATATTTCAGATACAGGACCACAAGTCTACCAAGTGGTACAACCATCAATACGATTAGGCAGCTATTTCTGTCAAGTACAAGTCATTTTGGTGGACACAATTCCAGCCGACCTACGTGTGCAGGGGTCTGTCAGCTACTGTCAAATTTCTGAGAAATAGAGGAATAAAATTGGCAGATAAAATTAAGTCTGATCACCTCGCTGACTTCGGAATCCTTGTCGGTGCTGACTACTACCACAAATTCATCGGTAGCCAAACTAAATATCAGGGCATAATCATGCTAAATTCTGCAGGAGGCAAATTACTCACTGGCCCACTATTAAGTCTGAGGAGACCAATGCCTGTAGATAAACAATATCAATATAAATCTAAATTTGTCAGCTGATGATACAACTCCAGTAGCATTATACTAAGGAGATTACAGCTGACTATAACAACAGAGGTTGATCTTGATATCATCATTCATAGTTGAAGATGAGTTCACGAGGCCTCAGTGGCAAATCAGTGAACAGTAGCCTAAATAAGCTCCAAGTCATTGCGACCAATGTCACTGAACCCACTGCAGTCTTAGAATCATGCTTGACTTTAATGATTGACTATTCAATCCTCTGAATCAAATAAACTAAATTAAACCCAATTTGTCAGCTAAGTAACTCTAGCAAATAAGCATAAAGGAGCATGACTGACTATATCAACCCGACGACTGATTTTGATTCATTTATTATTTAATCAAGATGTTTTCCATGGGCCTCAGTGTTTATATATCAGTGACCAGTTACCTGAACAAGCTTCTAGTTATATACCTAATGTCACTGATATTACTGCAGTCCCAGAATCATTCTTGGCTGTAGTACTTGTTCACATTCAGTACTCTGGGTTAAATAAAATGTAATTAGGCTGAAATTTTAACCTCCTAAGAGTTAGCAGGGAAAGAAAATGTTAAAGACTTTCAACCCCCTGCAACTCGAAAACGCAAATTACAGAATTATTAAAACAACTACAGAAAATACGCCCTTTACGAACTGACGCACAAATGTGTGATTACTAACTACTAACATTAAATTAATCTAATAATTCGAAGGTGAATTATCGGTGTTCGTCTGTTCTAAGTAGGACTTCGACCCGCGAGCAGCCCCGGGAAATTATATTGGAAAACTCGACACCATTTACTAATATTAAATCCAATATGCAGATAATATTGCTGTTGTTGTTTAAATAACAAATTAACCCTAGAAATAGTGTTTACTCATACAGAAAATGTAGCACAGTGGAAATTTCCGTCAATAGAAAATGGGATATTAGTGCCACATGTTGCTTTTAATTTTACCAGCTAATTCTGTTTGGAATTATTCTTAATACAGCAGTTTTTGGACTGTTAACATCACAAAAACATCTCACTTGAATTAACATAAATAAAAGTACCAAAATAGAGTAAATGTAACCTTTCTACCACTTGTTGACATCTGGACAAGAGAGCCAGGGCATCAGTGGAGGAGGGTCAGCCGTTGTTAATTTTAACAACCGGTCGCTGGAGCAGAAGAGCTCCAATAAATTCCCTTGGACAACGAAGTTATGGGACTAATAGTGATCCTGTTATCAACTCCAACTGCGTCTACTATAAGGGAAGTGTATTGCCGAAACCCGTTTATTAACTTTACATTCCTGGCCAGTTATGTTAGGTAGATATAGTGTGAGCCGGTTAGCACACGAGACAGCAACCAACCCAGAGAGAGTAATATTCTCATCTCTTTATTTCGATTGACAATATTTCCTCTGATATAGCTGTCATATATACAGGATTTCTGCTATTATTTAAGTGCCCTTTGACGGGAACAATGAAGAGGAAGCAGAACAGTTATTTGGTGCACCAGTACATGGTATTGATGCCAGCCTCAAACACGAGGATTATTTGGTGTGATCATCCTTGTTCATAACTGGTGGACCCGGCCTACCTACAATAAGATAAGTCCTCCCCATTTTAGTGAATATTTGTAGTCTAATACTGTAGTGAATGTCTCTTAATCAATCCACGTTTGTGGTAGAAAAAAAGAAAAAAAATCGATTAACTACATATAAATCCATAAACTCCCAATAATGTGTAAGGAGATCGATTTGTGTACATTCGAAGAAAGACAGTTCACTTTAACCATCATACAATTTGCTATCGAAACATATAAATTAACGTAAATATAAATTACAATATAAATTCATATAAATTAAATAAATATAAATCTCACAGGTCGGTTCCCCACACATGGAGTTGTTAGGCACACCACCTGTGTTTACTAGTTGCGTTTTTGCGGGGGTTGAGCTCTGCTCTTTCGGCCCGCCTCTCTACTGTCAATCAACTGCTTACTAACTACTTTTTTTTCCACACCACACACACACCCCAGGAAGCAGCCCGTGACAGCTGACTAATTCCCAGGTACCTATTTACTGCTAGGTAACAGGGGCACTTAGGGTGAAAGAAACTTTGCCCATTTGTTTCTGCCTCGTGCGGGAATCGAACCCGCGCCACAGAATTACGAGTCCTGCGCGCTATCCACCAGGCTACGAGACCCCTACCACTACCACTACCACTTAGTGGTAGAGTTCACTACCTGTATGTTTTATTGTGTGTTGTAACTGTATTCCATCGCATGCTCGCATATTTACATCTATTTATCCATTTATCATTATACAATTATATTCATGAACAGTCATGCACTAGTCTCTCTTCAACGCCACCATATTGCCTGGAGACAGTCTCTCTTCAACGCCACCATATTGCCGGGAGACAGTCTCTCTTCAACACCACCATATTGCCGGGAGACAGTCTCTCTTCAACGCCACCATATTGCCGAGAGAACACGTTTAGCCTCCAACACCACCCGGTGTCCAGTATTCCTAAAACACGTAATGGATGGGACTAGACAATGATAAACTTTGTGAATTTTATGAATTCCACCAATTTTATAGCATATATGAATGTCACAATAGCCTGGCTTATTGATAATTGTTGCACTCAGTCCATTGAAATCTGTTGGGAATTTTTTTAATTTAATAGCAGACTCTTTACTTCATAATGTTCAAAACTAATTGTAATTTATATATATTGTATAATATTTATATATAATTAAGGTTAATTTTGTTATTTACTTGATCTGTACCAGTATCATCTATTCCTTATGATGGCTTAAGAACAAAATGGTGCGACATATCAATTGCAATGGGTAGATTTGGATCCTGTTTTTAATATATTGTTTACTGTTGTTATATGTGGCTTACACCACATATAACAACACGTCTCAGCAACAACACGAGACGTTCTATATACGCCTCGGCTATATCACTTTGCTTAGATCAGGCTCAACGTGCACCTGAACTTGGCTATGGACATTAACGATAGGTTATTTTACACAAAGTTCTTCCCACAGGTTGACGGAAGGGGTGATTATGGTGATGTGGTCCGGAGCGATGTGGTTCATGGAGGTGATTGCCTTCTTAGTGGCATTCAACAGCGACGAGCCCTCACATGATTGGTATAACTACCTGTGGTACATTCCCTCCAGCCTTAACTGCCTGCGAGGGATAGGCATCTTCCTCATCGTGGTGTTGACGCCTGAGAACCGTAGCAAGCTGGCGCGAACATGTAACCGAGTGATCCGGTCCATGACGGCCTGCAACTACAAGGCCCGAAGCTCAAACCTGACGGCTCGCTCCAGGTCTTCTGATGTCCAGGCGGTGGGCATCCGGCGTTTCAACATGTCTATACACGAGGGAATTGATCTGAACACTGATGTCACTTCTGATGAGACATTAAGTTCTTCATTAGCTGATTCTGAACTCGGGTCAGGAATAGGTGAGGCTGATGTGTCAGCCAAACGTCATAAAAAATCCCAATGAAGTTTGCCTACTGTTTTACTTCTTGCTGGTGACTGTAAGTTTGCCACCGCTGCCCACTGGATGGGTGTGGTGTGCATAATAGAAAAACTAAACTATATTTTTATCTCTAACTTGTTTGCCACTTATCTACGGTATGGATATTTACCCCAGAAAATATTAATTAAAATCTTGTTTGGCTAGTAGTGAGCATAGAAATCAGGGAGACTTTCTGATGGATATATGGAATTAATAAGGAAATACTGTGACAAAGTAGAGAAATATTTGTGACAAAGTGATAAAGTAGTAAGCTGTGACAAAGCTTGTTGACAAGCATTATAAGTCCTATAGCAATGAGATCTATGTCACAAAAGCTGTGTATTCAGACCGACTTTGGTCAAGACAACCCTCTTAATCTGTTGATGCAAAATGCTACGGGTGCACAAATTTCTATAACAACATGATATAATTACACTAATTCTTCAAATAGTTGTTTTCATGTAAAATTTGTGATATAAGTATAGGAAAAATTTGTCTCACCGCTCTGATGGTAAACTGTAAGGTTTTCAATGACTATAACACCTGTTCACTCCTGCCACAACTGTAAGGATTTGTATAAATCTCTGATAAACGGGCTCTAGATCTAAATCTTGATCATATTTTTAAAGAAAATATCTGTCTGTAACGTAGGGCAACAAGTCACCATTGTAACATTTGCCACAACCACTCACCATAATGGTTGCTAATAACCGGTAACCCTTAATGCTGTAATAATTTCATTGATATAACCCCCGAAGAACTGGGAAGAGTCTCTAAGACAGTTACAAAATTGTACAGGGAACTGAAAGAGACAATTTCCGTTATACTGCTTCTCAGCCTGGTGTTCCTGGCCTCCTGGTTAGATTTCCCACTCCCAGCACGCCCAACATCACTCTCACCTTTGTGCTTCAAGGTGGAGTCCTGGCTCCACCCACTGAGACTCATCTTGCCGTAAAATATCCACCTCTTTAGGCCTACATCCAATCAGCCGAAACCAGGCAGCTAGGTCTGCTTTATTTTAAAACTGCAAGGTGGCAGAACTTTCTCACGAAAACTGGATATTACTGACTCTGGCTGAAGCCAAGAAGAGAAGAACCAGGAACTATAATTTGAAACAGCAGTAAACCTTAACCTTCGATCGTCACAAGGAAGGAACAGCAAAATGGCACCAATATCTGTGGTGGAACAGGGGCCGCTCAGGTTTCGAACCCGGAATTCTCGATTGTGAGTCGAGAACGAACGCACCTCAATGTCAAGCTACCTAGCCTAGCCCAACCCAACGCATCCCAGCCTAACCTTACCCAACCCAACCAAGCCCAACCCATCCTAACCTAATCCAACCAAGCCCAATACAGCCAAACCTAAGCTACTTCAGCCTAGCATAACAATATATTAAATAAAATTTTAGCAAACAGAAAATGAGTTTTGTCAAATCATCTTGTGTCCCGAAACACCCCAGTCAGGCACCTTACATTTTATTCGCCTTCATATTTCATTAATTTACAAAAGTTTTTTCATTTATTATTTCATTTTAACTAGGGACAAACCCTTACCTAACATAATTTTTACTGCATTTTTATTCAACACTTATTGAGTTGAATGTTCTACAATACTAGTTTGTTATCTGTATGCACACTTCAGACTGAAGATCCTTCTTCCTGTAATTAGTCATGGCCTAACAACGATGGTTTAAATTTATCATTATGTGATGAGGTACATCGCATGGCTGATTCCTCTACATGCAGCATTGAACAAATGTGTGTCCAAGACCTCTTCCTCTGTTGCACAATTTGGCTCTGTGTAACAATGAACCTAATTTTATTAAGTAGATAAGTGCACCTGTGAGTAAAAAAAATACTGTCAGCTGTAAGAAGTGAAAAATTGAGACATTTTTGCAAAATTTAATGAATGATTCATAACATATATGACTATTACGTATCAGCATGAAATCTTAATGATCTAGGGATAACATGATTTAGCAATGATAATATTGGTAATAATACAAACTATAATTAAAAACCTTTATTATTGATTTTTTTATTAAAAAGCTTAAGTATACACAGCAATGTGCTGCTACCCTATTCTATATAGAAGATTACACAGTAATGATAAAAAGCTAGCTATAAGTTCATCTAATGCTCTCATCTCATAGAATGGTTAGTCATACATGGAATCAGGGGTGAAAATACCAGCCTCATTACCAAAAACAAGTCAACTCTGACTAAACAACAATTTCATGAATTTCACAAGTGGTAAGCATTGAATCATGGAAAGAGTATTATAATTACTCTTACCAGTTTCTACAAGACTCTTCAAACAATGTATTTTTTTTTTTAACAAGCTTAGGTATACACAGCAATGTGCTGCTTCCCTATTCTGTATGAAGGACTACATAGTGTAGATCAAAAACCAGTTACAAATAGATCCAACATCCCCATCTCACAGGACGGAGAGTCATACATGGACTCAGGAGAGAACAAAATATGTAAGGTTGGTCTATTACCCTCCACTAGCAAAATCTTGGTACAGCACAAGAACATCTTCCAATATTCCTGAGTGTATGAAGTAATTATAGAGCTCAAAGTACCTCATACCATGTCGTAAGAAGTCAATGTTAACAGGGCAATCACAGATACAGTGTTGGAGAGTATGTCCTCTCAAGTAGGACCGAAAACAGGTGTTTTTTTTTCCCCCAGAGGGTAATAAACCCATGGAACCGCCTACCCGCTGAAGTTGTAACTGCCAAAATCCAGTTAGACAATATCATCAGGACAATTGGCGGGACTTAACAAGACCCCGTCTTTTTGTCCTCGTGGAGGTTACTAGATAGTTAGTGGCCCTTGGGTAAATTTGGGTAAATATATACGTAAATAAATACCATCGCTTCTCAAATCTTGGGAGCGACAAGGAAAGCCACACAATATTTCTTAGAATTACAAAGGTAAACAAAAAATGTAACATTTGTTTACTACAGTGTCGATGCTGACTGTAGAAGTTGAAAAAACATAGTTTTACTTCGAAATATACTAAATTTATTAGAGAATTCGACGTAAATAGGAGGCAAATGACAATGGATGAGCTCCGATATGCCAGCGTTGTGATAGAAACTGAAGCTTTCAAAATAACATATGCTTGTTGGGTGTTGAATGAAAGCTTGTGTTACGAACTATCATTTGAGAGTAGTTAGAAGTCTGTGATTGCTCTGTAGAGAGAATTACAGGGATTTTCCTGTTTCTGTGAAGTAGGATGTGAGTTACTTGGACTAAAACCGTTAGAGGTGGGAGGTGAGTGGGGTGAACGCCGCCTCTCCCCCCCCCCCACCTGGGAGACATGACGCCACTCGTAGGCCTCACCCTCCTTGTGACGTCACAGGGCGCCCGAGGGTGATGGAGGCCTGTGACTGGTCGAGGCACGAGGAGCCGTGCCGGCTTCAAGCTGATTGGTCTAGGCATTGTAGGGAGAAGGTATGGGCATTTGGAGTTTTCCCGTCCGCCAGGGAGGCAGTTTGAATTGGGCGGCCAGGGAAGGAAGGAGTTTTTGGTGGGGGTGGCACGCCAGCCACCTCCACCCCCTGTTAATCGCTTTTGTCGTCCAAATTACTCGATTGGTGGCACTCCTGCCATCAGGGGTTGTGTCAAGGCCTAATTAGGTGAATTGGGGCCAAGGATTTATGGAAGGAACAGTAATAAGGCTAGAGAGACAGTTGACTGTGTTCACCAATGGGGCAGCTCGAGCCTCATGGTGTAACAGGTGGGTCGAGTATCCTGTCTAGTGGCAATGGACAATTGGTGTTGGGCAGTGTAAGCGAGTGTGATATTACAGGCCCATGTTGGACTTTGCATTCCGCCAGGCTGCATCAGTATGGGGACGCCGCCGGCCATTGTCACCCCAGTGTAGAACAAAGGCAGGTTCTAGAGTGATGGGGTTGAGATTCCCCAGCCGCGTGGGTACTCCTGTGGGCAGCTGCCCGCCAGCTCGCAGCCACCCGTGGCCACCCAGGCCACCCCGCCCGCCAGCTCAGCCGGTGGGGTGCTATGACGTAATGCGCTACCCGTGGCCACCCGCGCGGCGGCCACCCAGGCCACCCCAGGCCACCCAACCCCCCTCTCTCAGCTCGGGAGGGGCGCTGTGGCCACATGCCTTGGCCACATGTTTTGGCCACCTTCCCTGGACATTCTAAGGCCACACCTCGCACGAGGAGCGAGCTAGGTGTTTACAGCCAGAGAGGTAGTGACCAGGGAAAGGATTGTTGAGGATTTAAGGAGCCGTGAGTACAATAAAAGTTGTTACAGTGAGGAAGTAGCTGAGAGACAGCTGTCTGTAGTGTCGTCCAGGTGACTGGTTGGGATGTACCTGGAGATAGATGTTATACACGGGACCACTGTATGTTAGTATGTTAGTAGACTGACTAGAGTATGTAACCAGTCAGTGTAGAGATTTACCATATAAGTGATCCAGCCTGTCGATTCTATATAATCGTTCAGGCTGGATTAATGCCATAGAGTACCGTAAAATTATAATCATTAGAGGTAGGCAGGGATGTCAGTGGGACCCCTGAAGTCTGTGTAGGTAGTTACACATTACTTGGTGATATAATTTTTATAGATTATGTGAATGCCATTTCTATGTGTTCATTTGCACGTTTATGTACTGTGTTGTGTGGTAAGTCAGTAGGTGTGATTGCTGACTGATTGCCTAATGATGTCATTAGCATGTGGGGTATGCTGACGGCATCATTGTGTTGCAGGTTTGTGCAGTATTGTTTCAGTTTATACAATATTATTGCCCCAGGAACTGTGTTGAGGGTTTAAGGGACCTCTAGGATTATTCAGGGGAATTCACAGTATTTATTGAGAGCAGACAATTGATGGGTTAATTGCCTTGCTGGGGCAAGTGTGTGTGTGTTCACGGTATTCCTTTGCAATCAGGTGCAAGAAGAAAAGAGAGGGGGGGGGCAGTAATATTAGTATACTTTTGTGTGTTGCACAACCGTGTGTCATTATTGTGTGGGCACAGTAATTAGCGAGTTGCAGTAGCCGCAACCATAAGTGGGCAGTGCTGTTATGATGTTGCATGCCATTGTAGTGAGACCTATGTAACGCTGGGGTTACTTTGTTTCTTTAAGTTATGTTGAGGACTTAAGGATTCAGTGAGTTAATTAAGGGGTAATTAACTGAATAAGGGGTGCACACTTAATATTGTGGAGTGGGGAGCTGTTAAGAGAGAACAGTGTTGAGCTAGAATGAGATACGTCCCGGGAGCTATTAATGGTCCATGTGACAATTAATTGACCGCTCTAGCTAATTATGTAATTAGCCTTCTCATCATGAATTCACGTAGTGGAAGAGGTTCTGTCAGAGTCTGTCAGTAATTGTGTTAACGTAATATGCTCGAGACTAATTACCTTTCAGGGGTATAGCAATTAGTGGCTCATGTTAA